CCGAAGAAGGTGATCTCACCGAAACGTCAGCCTAATAAAGTTATTTGAAAACCTCGAGTGCAGTTCAATAAGAAGAAACAATCATCTATCAACATGCCGAGGTTCATTGAGAGTCGAACATGGACGTTTAGAATTCTATACCTTCAAAACCGTTTCAGGTAGCAACAATTGATTAATTTTTAATTATTCACAAAAATGTGAATAGCACTCACATGGCGCTGCTGCGAAGAGCACTGCAATTCCTTTACTTCGCTGCTCGTTGAACACCTATAAATTGCTCTAATTTGTAAAGTGGTTCTTATTAGCGGTAACAAAGCAACTAATAAGGCGATAACAGATAATCGTTACCCCTGCAATAAGCATAGTATGACAGAATCAGAAGCTAGCTGAAGGAGCTTAGTCAAAGAACCTCGGTACTGGTAGATAGCGCAACGTGATGCGTGCCTAGTATTCCCCTGATTGGTGGTGCACAGCAATTCACCTAACCACAAAACAAGTTTAGGCTCAACGTCCATTTCAAGAAGAACGATCGCGATGAGCGCTACTGATAATTTGTTTTTAACAGTCGATCTACTGTCGAAGGTACAACTCGCGACAAGGAGAGAAATTCAGTTCTCTCAGAAATAGGTAACCCAGGTCCACAGAGCGGGGATAAGCCCTTTTCGGGGCTCGAAACTGCCCAGGAGGCGAGTCAAAAGCTGAGTTTCATTTGGGTCCGCGAGACCCATGCTGATGTGTATGTGACGTCAGCCTGTGTGTTCTCTCGCCGCTCACTTGTCTGATTTTTCGCCCATGCTCGCAGTCTCTCTTCCCTGCATGCTCGCACAATGTCCGAGACGAGGGGGGGGGGATATTCACGATGTTTTCCACATTAGCACCTCACATATATTGGATCCCTACACGATGTGCAAGTAGGAAACATGCTTGAAACCGGAGAAAGGACGTTCGGCTCTCAGTCTCCTAGGCTGTACTTTATACTTTGCGACAGCGTCCACCAGCGCTACCAGCGTCCATTAGCATTCCGAGCGTCCGGCAGCTTCAGCGACTAGGAAAGTATAGGCATCAATCTAGCATTTCCTGGCGTCTCGAGGGCTAGGGGAGCGTAGGTATCGCTCTAGCGTCTGTCAGCGTCTACCAGCGTCCACAAGCATTCACCAGCGACCGGGAGTAGAGAGTATTGGGAAAGTAGGAGGGTAGCAAACAGCTGGATCAGGCGTCGTGAAATTGCGGCGTGTGCAACCGCACCGTACAACTGCTAAAGCACAATATTATGCAACTTAATGTACGCTGTAGTGTACGGTGCGTGTACACGCCACAATTTCACGACGCCTAATCCAGCTGTTTGCTACCCTCCTACTTCCCCATACTCTCTACTCCCGGTCGCTGGTAGACGCTGGTAGACGCTGGCAGACGCTAGATCGATACCTATACTTCCCTAGCCCTCGAGACGCTGCCGGTCGTTGGTGGACGCTGGTGGACGCTGCCGCAAAGTATGAACGCAACCTCACGGGTTTTGCGGTATTCATGATGAGCGCTCAGAAACTTTTCACCTACTACTGATGAAATAGTAAGAAAAGGTACCTCGATGAGACAGTGAGCCCCGGTGTAGTCGATTTGAGGAACAGTGGATAAATCGATTACGATCGCGTGTATCGGCTCGTGTTTGGGTTCGTTTATGGAAAATTGCTGAAAATACGTGATTGACTACGAAATTGAAAAGCTGGAACTCAATATATACCTTTTGCAATACGTCCGGTGGCATTACTTTGACACTTCGCAATGTTGTCCCCGATTCATTTCGGCAGTGTTTTATTGATTTTTCCAATTCAGTCTCTCCTTCTCTCCTCCTACAAAGGATAATGTATGGGCTACACTCAATTTTTGCGAATTTTTTTATTCCTTAACCTACCATTCATTCTTTTCTACTTTTACTCAAGACCCCCACGATAGCCTGGTCTAAGAACACGGTAGTAGGCCGACCTACATATAGTTTTGTTCACTGGATTGTGTTAGGAAGCTGAGTTTGGCGCGGCGCTAGCCAGCCAGGGTACAGCATGGGAATATGCGAAATGTCGATGTGAGTACGGACCTCCCAAAGCAAAAGTACGACCCCTCCCCAT